CTGTCCACCAACGTTTACCATCCAACCTGACAGAACTGGAGAGGATCTGCAAGGAGGAATGGCAGAGGATCCCCAAATCCAGGTGTGAAAAACTTGTTGCATCTTTCCCAAAAAGACTCATGGCTGTATTAGATCAAAAGGATGCTTCTACTAAATACTGAGCAAAGGGTCTGAATACTTAGGACCATGTGATATTTCAGTTTTTCTTTTTTAATAAATCTGCAAAAATGTCAACGATTCTGTGTTTTTCTGTCAATATGGGGTGCTGTGTGTACATTAATGAGGAAAAAAAATTAACTTAAATGATTTTAGCAAATGGCTGCAATATAACAAAGAGTGAAAAATTTAAGGGGGTCTGAATACTTTCCGTACTAACTGTATATATATATATATATTTTATGACATTACTCTATACAGCAAATGAAGAAGAAAAAGGAAAAGAGAAAAAAAGCAGGCCTAAAAACTGGAACGTCATCATCCTTGACACCACACTCACTGTAATGTTTATCAACAGTACCATGCCATCTACAACTCTTGCATCACTGTGGTAAAAACAGACATATGTTGAATATTTTGTAATGCTGATTTCGTAACACCACAGTAAAAAAGGAAACTATAACGGTACCAGTGAAAACCATTCAGCCCAAAGGTGGAAAAGAGACTAAAATGAAGGGTGCGCATATTATGAACAGAATTGTTTTGACATTCAAGCAGGCACAGATAAGTCAGGTGTATGCAAAAAGCAAATAGCAAGTGGGAAATAAAAATGAATTGCTAATGTTACACCACAGAGCTCAGTCATTGTAGAGCCAGGAATAAAATTAAATTTTATCTTGCCTGATCTCAAGAACAGATACAGTATTTCACTCTTACAGAATCTGCACTGCTTAGAAGAAAGGTGAAGGTGAAAGACAAACTTTCTGCCTCTCTGCACTGAATTACAAAACAAGTTATTGACAAAATGTTCTGTAGAAAGTGAAAGTCCAGCTCGTGAAACAGCACCATATACTTAAAAGGTTACCGCTTTGATTGATATAGCAGAATAAAACACCAAAATCGCAAAATAAACTCTATAAAAATAAAAGATGATGAGTGATCAGCCAGTGCATTTGCATTACAAGGGCTAATGTGATACAGCTAAAATCCAAATCCACACGAGGCTTAAAAATGGCACGTGTCTGGGGGGAGAAATTTATGTTCCTGACTCATCCAAACGCTCATGTAAATTTCCATAAATATGCCAGATAAACACTTATCTCCTGCAATGAATCCTCTTGGAAATCCTAACACACTGCGCCTTCTTCAATAAAAGCATTGTGACGTAACACTGTATTATGAATGGACTCGAGAAGGAATTCCTAACGGCCAGTTCATCTCAAACATTCAAAACAAAGATATGAATTTTTCCATTTTAAAGGCCATTATACAAATAAATACATTAGGAGCTGACAAGAATATTGAGTGAAACTAGCGAATGTTGGACATTTAAGTTCACATATTACTCTCGTACAAAGGCTGACTGAAATCAATTAAAACCACCGCAGCCGCAAAACAGATGTTTCGCGAGCAATTCTCTCAAGTCTTGTGTTTTGTTATTAAAAAATGATTTGAAAAATACAGGCTACTAAAAAGAGAGGATATTTTACATTCTTTAAATCTCATGTCTTTCTTACTGTTGAACCAATCAGACACTTGCTCAAAGATGCTTTCATCAGTTTAGAGATGAGTAAAACGGCTTCATTCCATCATTTTTCCTCAGCCGGACCTCTTTTGGGTGTTTCACACTACACTTAACCCTGGGTTATTGCATTTTCAAACCTGTGTTAGCGCTGCTTTCCACCCTGGGTCACGAAACCCTTGTTCTTGAGAGGATGTGTTTAGCAACTCCATTAAATATTCACGAGCTTTCTACAGTTCTCAGAACTTTCACACGCTGTTTAGTCTCCATAACTGAAGGAAATGTTAAATATGTCAAACTGTGAAGGCAAACGTGTTAACTGAAAATTATGAAGACACCGTATTTTGCTGTATATTTTACAAGGAATCCAACCGGCGCGGATCTACTTGGCAACATTTCCACAGACGGACACGCCGTTATTAAAACAGGTCCCGTGCCATATTTTTCCAATCAACTTTAGCTACCTCATAAATATGCAAACAAAATCATTAACCCGTACTTGTGAAATCTCAAAAGCTGACAACCCAGGATTACTAACCCCGGATAAAGTATGAACAACAGTGTCAAACACTGAACGAGACAACCTAGGATTACGTGCACAGAATGACGCTGGGTAAACAATTTCAAGTGTCAAAAGCCCATTTTAGTCTTGTCAAAATTGAACGCTGTCGACATGGGGTGTGTGTCCACGCAAGCTGCCTACCTAGACCGCGTTTTGAGCATCGTAACCATACTCCATATTCAAAAATGCTTTTAATGTATCTTTTCTAACTGACTGCAGTGCTACCTAAGTGTTATCTAACACATTCACTTTAATACAGACAGGCGTTTTATATAAATAACACGCCCAGTGACATTTGAGTGCTGCTGGTAGGCTATTTACTAAACACCCAAAGCCGTCCCGCCAAACGAGTCGGTTAATTGTCGTTGAGACCCACAAATAAACACTACTGATCATAACTAGTCATTTAAAGAGCACCATATACAGCTGACATGCCTGCTTAGATATTCCATTCATGCGTGGTCCAAACATAACAAGCAGTGACAGCTTTGCAAAAGTGTGACTCTTACTTTTCTTGGATCACATTCTCCTTTATGGCACCCAGCGTGGGGTGACTGTTGCCCTGTTGTTGCAGTCTGCAGGTGGCCAGGTGCTTCTGGTGCTGATCCTTCAAGCACGCGTTCTCTTGACAAAGATCACACACTTGCTGTTCGAGCTCTTCAATCCGATTCTTCTGCTTCTCCAACAACTCCTGTTGGGTTTCGATGATTTTATTGAGCTCTTTGAGGTACTCCGCCGCCTTGCTGGGGTTCTCGGTCGGGTTTTCCATGTCGGTGTACGCGAAATGCCCGTCCATGGGGCAAATTCGATCCGCTGAGCTGGATTTACAGCCGCTCCGCCATTGTTTATGTTTGCTGGTACTGCTGACTGCTGTCGGCGCTCCTACTGAGTACCGAAGTTGCGCTCGAGCGCCTGTCCGCTGCAGCGCGCCGTCCAGAGGTTCTGCGCTGCGCCACAATAACTAACCCGCTCCGTAGACGATAAATCCGTTTAACCCTTCACTGTGAGGACTGTTAAGGTAAGCAGTGCCTCCTGCGCTGGTAGGATCAATATTTATCGTGGTTGATTATTACATAAAAAGCAGTTACAACCTGCTGAACATTTAAAAAAGCATAAACAAGGTCTTAACTGGTTTTAGGTGGTCAAATGGTTCTCCTACCTAAAAACTTTGCTGGAAAAAAAGACTGGTCTTACTGGGAGACCAACAAGACCAGCTCGGCCATGCAGGCTTGAGACTGAATTAACTGAAGACCTGGGGCCTGTTTCATAAAACAAGTTTACCAAATAAGCCAGGTTTATTTCAGTTAGTCTGACTTATTGTCAGTTGATTTGGTTCAAAATAAGTCAGGATAACTGAAATAAGCCTGGCTTGTTTGGTAAACAAGTTTTATGAAACAGCCCCCAGCTAACAAGACTGTTTGTTTGTTTGTTTGTTTGTTTGTTTGTTTGTTTGTTTGTTTGTTTCAGCAGGGATATTATACTGTAAACCCATAATAAATCACCTTGAGATCAGAGGGCCAAAGTGGCTCATGTCATGTGTACCCTTTAAACAAGTGCACTACTCAACCAATCCAAACCACTCCTGCTACAGAATAGAGAAGCCAAAAAGGGAGTTATATTTTCATGCAATGACTCATTTTCACTGGCACACTGACAGTTAAATAATGTTCAGGGCTCATTAAATCATAAATGCTTAAAACTCCAGCTATTTTCTGTTTTTGCTGGTCATCTTTGGATAATAAGACATGTATAACTTATAGATTAATGTATTGGATATGTTGTGTAATATTTATTTTGATTCAGATAAGTCCATTTTATTATGTCATTTAAAAAAAGCACACACACACACACACACACACACACACATACACACATCTATGCATGTATGTATATAATGGGTCAATATCACTGTAGGGTGCCTTTTGGTGTCCTGTGTATAAATAACTTATTTGCCATGATAACATAAAAATAACTATGAAAGGGTGTGTTATATTAGGCTAAGTTTTTATATTCATAACAAAAGCATTACTTTGCTCTTTAGATACTTTTTTTTTTAATTTAAATTTTTTAGTTTTGTGTAAGAGGATGCGTGTTATTTTGCTATGTTCCATGCACTGCTCATTTTACTGCACATGATAAATGTGACATCATTCATAAATATATTGTAAATCTGCTTCAGATTCTGAAATATTCTTGTTTTCCATCAGTGCTGTTATTAGAGCAGCTCTACCTTTCCAGTCGTCTCTATTCCACGGATGCAGCAGACATACAGCACTCCCCAAGCTGAGATCAGACAGAGGATCATCCACCACTGCAGACCTCCTGTCTCCTCTATGGCCGCTGAGGTGTTCAGAGTCTCACGATACCAGAAATAATCCACAGGTGAGCTCCTCTCACACTCAGAAACTAGTCCTGCCAAATAATGAACAAAATGTCCATAGTGGA